TAGCTGTGGAATCGGTACCATGCCTAGGTATCGATACCCATATTGCATTCTGTAATTCTCGTTCAAATATGGTATCGATACATTCCTTAAGGTATCGGTACCCTAGGTATTGATACTATTCTTCCCAGGTATCGATACCATTTGAATGCCTTTGTTAATTCCAGTCTTAAAGTATCGGTACCTGTTGAAGTAGTACCGATACTCATAGCCCAGAAATCACTTTTCTTCCCCCAAAAATTCACCCAAACTTACTTAATTCTTCTTATATAACCTCCTTTTAGCCCTTTAAACCTAACTACACTTATTCTAACCAACTTATATCACTTTAACTCGTCATAATATCCAATATTCTGTCTTAAATTTGGAAACCAAGAATCTTACCAATTTATCAACATGTTCTAAATTTGTTTCTAACACTTTGAATTTCTTATTTTGATTGATGACAAGTCAAATTTAACTTCCAACTTCAATTACTAACTCTTTTCCAAGATTTCACTTATAACCATCTCATCTTTAATCCTTTCTAACTTCTTCATCTTTTAGTTTTAAGATAACTTAAGTTTTCCTTAAATTAAGTATCATCTAAAGAACATAAACCAAGCTTAAAATTAAGAATTTATCAACCAACATGAAACTTACCTTTTACAAATGGGGTTCACGACTGAATGAGAAAGAAGACCCAACTCTCCAGACTTTTCCTTTCTCTTTTTCCTTCTCATTCCACATGGTTAATTCCTTATAAAGGAAAAAATAAAAAAATTTCTTGTCAAATGACCATTATACCCCTTACTCCATCAATTATTTACTAGACCATCATTCCCAAAATATTGCCAATTAAGTCCCTAAACTTTTCAATCTTTTGAATTCATGCTTCAAAGTTTCCAAAAATTCTATTTTGATCACTAACCCGACTTTTGGGATGTTACAATGTACATCTCTCAATACCTTAGTACTTAACAATAAACATATAATTATAATGGCATAAGTATGTTTCTATATTTTCAAAGAAATAAATAATAAAAAATATATTAAGTTATTTGTATACAAATTTTATTAAATATATGTATAAATTATAAATAAAAGAAACTTATATCAAGTTACTTGTAAAAATATAATAAATTAGAAATATAATTATAAATCTAATTTATTAATGGTTAACCGTTTATCAAAATTTGTAACTGTAACCTTAACTGTTAACCATCGTTTTTAGCGGTTTGGTTAACCGAAATCGTTTAGTATTAACGGTTCGTTTAATTAACATGTTAAATATAACGGTTATACCGATTAACGGTTACGGTTAATAGTTTCGGGGTTTTTTCCTATATCAACAACTTTTTGTATTTAAATCTCAAATAAAAACAAGGAAACAAAATATTTCAAATCATAAATATTTTTTTTTGGTACATTAGCTAAAGTTTAGGTCAGGTTGGCTCCCTAATCCAGGGTTAAGGTATATCTAAGACTCAATAAGAATTTGCATATTACCTACCAAGAATGATGATGCTAGGATTTAAACTTGAGCTTACAAATTCAAATTTATGAATCATAACCACTTGTATCAACAGTAACGTTACAAGAAAAACTTTAAATCTCATATAAAAACGAAAACGTTACGGAGTATTTAAATCTCAAATAAATACAAAAGTCATAACGTAGTTGGAATGTTTTGAGGTTTTGAATTGCATTCTATTTGTCATGGATTTTAAATGGTTCAAAATATCACATAAAGGTGTGAGATTTAGTCATCATAAACGGTTTCATATTTTAAACTAAGTCAATACATTCATCTCAAAATTCCAAATATTGAGCTTTGTTTTCTAATGAGAGGAAAATACGTAAATTAATCGGTAAATAGATTGGATACCAATGATTAATTAAAAAAAATACGTAGACAACTCATCAAGTTGATCACTGCTCCACGTGGCAATGTCCAGTTTCTTGGCACATATCATAAAAAATTGATTTTTACTCATATGTATATATTTCGATTTTATATATTATTTATAATACATTCTTAATTCTTTATTAAAATACTATTTATTTATGTCATCTACGATAAAGAACATTCAATTAATTTTATTTTTTGAAAGACATTGTTAATTAAAACGCAATTTTATTTTATGTCATTGTTAATATATTATTTATAATATATTATTTTATTTTTTTTGAAAGACATCGCCGTGTGTCATAGATATTTTTAATGTTATTTGCGATTACCGCGACTTTGATTTGGTTGTAATTTTTTTGTACCGTAAATATCAAATTAAAAGAATTTAAAATATAGAGACTGAAATGAGAATATTGGAGGTTTTGAAATAAAATTAAAAGAAAGAAATTCTTGTAAATAATGGTATAATTTTCTGAAAAAACATTTTCTAAATTTAACAAATTAAAAAATAAATATTTAAAATTTCTAATAAAAATAAAGAAAATTAAATTAAAGATAAAAATGATACTTTTTAATAAAAATAAATTAAATTAATTGAGTGATTAAATTATAAAAATTTAAATTTTAGTGACCAAAATAAGAGTGAAAAGATAATTTAGTGATGAATAATGTAGCTTTTCAAATTTTTATTTTTTATAAGATTTAAAAAAAATAAAATTTAAGTAAATAAAATACTAATAATTCATATATAATATTATTTTCACTATTTATACTCATAAAATATTTATTTTTATATTATAAATAATAAAAATGAACTATAAATTAAATAAAAGATTAACTATTTAATTCACAAAATCACATATTTAATTCACATAATCACCATGTATCGTAAACCTTCGTTGGATAGACAGATGCATAGTTGGTAGTCATTGTTAAGACTAAACATTACTTATAGTTCACGCATGGTAGATTAACCATTTGGCTGAGAATCGTATTCCTTACCAATGTTTTAAGTTCTAAATATGCACTTTGCCCTGTCTGCCTGCGCTCTAGCTTGCTTGGGTAGATTATCTTTTATCAGGCTTGTCTGCATGGTCTTTTAAATCTTTTTTAAGTTCTTACAGTGTGTTATAATCATACAAGGCAACCTAATGTTATTGTTGATTGTCATCACTTGGATCTCTCAATTTTCCATCTTTCATTTAACATGGCTCTTTCTGGTGTCCCTTTTAAGTCATTGTTATTAAGTAATTTTTTCATTCTCTTAATGGTGGCATTCTTATCGAGTTAGACTCTCTTTTGCTGCCTTGATCTCATGGACAGCTCATAAAAAGCCACATGAACAGAATTTGTTTGGTATAGTACAAGGTGGTTTAGATCCAGTACTAAGTTGAATCTCTGATCTTTGTCTTCCAACCATGCTTTTTGATGTGAGTTTTACCCTTTTTTCATTTGCTAATGATACTTTGATTTTTTTACCCTTTTGATACTTGTTTTAATCAGGGATATTTGTGTTCGAGGATTGGTGGATCGAAATTTACCAAGGTATGTGCATTCTATACCAAGAAATAACTCATGCTATGTTTACTTTGAAGATGTTTTATAGAATGTAATCAGATCTATAACATTTCAAGATCCAAGTTGCTTTCTGGGAGTAAAAAAGTAAAAGGTTGAGTTGACTAAAGAAAAATTGTTTGTTGAAGCTGATGAATAGAGTCCTACTCATGTTATGTTTTCTTTGAATATACTTTTACAGTAGATGATCAAATCTTGATGTTTCATACTTTAGCTAGTTTCGATAGAATTTTTCCACTTTGCATTTCAATATCTAAATCAATTTCTAGGTCTAGAAGATAATTTTACTAGTAGCAGCATATAAAAATGTTATGTTTTCTTTGAATATACTTTTACAGTAGATGATCAAATCTTGATGTTTCATACTTTAGCTAGTTTCGATAGAATTTTTCCACTTTGCATTTCAATATCTAAATCAATTTCTAGGTCTAGAAGATAATTGGTTTTACTAGTAGCAGCATATAAAATGATTGATTATTTTAGAAAATACAACTCCAAATCTAAATCTCTATAATTTCTAGCAGTATTATTCCCTATGGGGGGGCGGGGGTGCTGTTAGATCTAGGATAACCTAGTTGCCTGCTAAAGATTCAATCAACGACAAGTTGAATTAACTTAAGCTCACTTGTGTGACAGGTATGCAATCGGTGGTCTTGCAGGCGGTGAAGATAAAGATTCATTTTGGCGTGTTGTAGCTCAGTGTACTGCAGCACTTCCTGAAGACAAACCACGGTATGTCATGGTACAAATGAGTTTAATAACTGTAATCTACATCCTTAGATTCTGATGAATTGCACCTTCTTTTCTCCGTTTAAATTGCTGTAAAGCATTATATTTGTGCTTGCTTGATTTCAGGGTGTGGGGTATCCGCTGTATGTTGTAGTCTGTAGTGCCTTGGGTGCTGACATGTATGACTGTGTTTATCCTAGTCGAACTGCTCGTTTTGGCACTGCTGTTGTGCCGGAGGTGATATATTTACATAGTTTTTGAGAGTTAATATTCTCAATTTTGTCACTAGTTGCAATGCATGGTGTTTATGGCAGTAGTTGCTATTCTTTCTGTTTGCCTTCTAGTATGACTTGTCTATTCTCATTGCATGCATTATCATGTCAAGAATATTTTCAGACATGGATACGGGGATATGATTCTCCAAGGGCCCTTCAAATACGTGAAAAAACTTGAGAATAAATTGAAGATGTGTGTTAGACGCATATCCTCCTTATCCAGCACTAACACTTGAGTTCGAGTAACATAGTATAGTAATGTTAAAAGTTCGATCTCATAAGTTCACCTCCCTATGAATTTAGAGTGCATTAGTTACACCCAATTTTTATTTAGAATATGAATCTAGTATTCTGATGTCATTCAAGCACTTAATGCAGGGAGTGCTTAGACTCAAGAACAAAGCGATGCCTGAGGATACTCGCCCTATTGATCCTACGTGTGCTTGTATGGTATGCATTTCATGATCAAATTGCTTAAAATTGTTAATATATGGATTTAGTTTTTGCCATATTAAACTCTCTGCCCAATATACGTATGCAAGAACTATACGAGGGCCTACATTCATTCTCTTGTAACAAAGGATGCTATGGGATCTCAGCTTTTATCATATCACAATTTATACTATATGATGCAGGTACAACCTTAAAGTTGATATGTTTTAAGCTTTGTTGGTTTCATGTTTACTTTATTTAATGATTGATAGTATACCTTTACCAATTTTAGCTTAGCAGAAATCTACACTAATCCATAGTCCAGGGGAAGTTTCCCGAGTATGTTTGCCTCTTGCTTTCGCCAACTTTAATTTTTCTTCCCCATTTCCTTCTTTGCAGTATAAGAAATTTTACTGTTCTTAGTCTTTTTTACAGGTTTGTATGCAACGTTTTGTAGAAAATTGTATTTTGATCTCTCTTTCTTCCTGCCATTGATTTCTTTAAAATGCTAAAAGGGTTTTCTCTGTCATGCTTAACATCCTCTTTCTTATAATTTTGTCATGTAATCTACTTCAGTCTGTCATTCTTCCAAAACATTCTTTGATTGTGATTGGCTCAAATTTAAAATTATTTTGAAGTTCCATGTTCTTCGTTTGTTTAAGTGATGAAATATCATCTTATATTCGCTGCCAATATGAGTACGAGGGTATCTATTACATTGCAACATCACCCGTTGTTAACCTTACATCAGTTACCATCTCCCCAGAAACAAGGGAAGAAAAAGATTTGCTTATCAATCTTTTTAGAGCAGTTTACTATTTAGAAACCCTTTCACCTATAACATGGTATATGCTTGCTTGCTTGCTAGTATGTACAAATTGTAGCTTCAAGCACCAGAAGTTCAGAACTTCAAGTTGCTGAAGCAAAGGGCTGGTATCTAGGTTTTCAAGCTTTGACACTTGGATGGTGATCATGTAATTTTTTGTCATTCATTTGTTCTCTCTTTTCTTGCTTGGTTGACAAGCATCATGATCATGGTTTTCCAATTATAGATATCATCCCATCTGCACGAACTATGCAACATGTGTGTGTATTTGTCGAGTAATTTTAACTGAATATGAGATTTTGCATCGTCTTGTAGTTTCCTAAAGGAGATGTACCTGAATGGTTCCGCAATGCCATGGAAGTTGCTGAAATCGATATCTCTTCATGATGTGCTCCTCTTCGTAACGATTAACTAAACAAGGTTGAATTCTGGTGTTATTTACTTCGGCTTTCTGAGGTTGAGATGAAACGAATCTAATTTACAGGTAACCATGTAGAGCAGCATAAATTTTGTTAGCTTATAATATGCCTGCTTCTTCACCCCACTTCCATCAAATGTGTTAAAGTCCTAGGCTGGTTCCTATAGGCTGCTTCACCCCGCTTTTGTCGGAAATGTCCTCCGACGAAGGAACTCGCTTCTTGGCTAGAAAAAGTATAGGTTTGAGCGCCGTCTTTTGATGTCGGTCAAAATAGTGGTGAAAGAACTCGAGTTAGCCAACTAAAAACACAACTTCAACCACCATTTTTTGGCTACTTAAATTAATCTTTGTTTTCCATTCATTTGATGTAAATGTTATTGCCAGCTTAGTTTTCTATATGTGAATGTAAGCCAATCATTATTTAACCATAGGGTTATCTCAAGCTTGATAAACCTATATACTACATGACCTATCATTTAATTGTAACTATGAAACGTTTTGTATAAGTCATGACAAATCGTTTTAGTTATTAATAAATTTGGGTTTAGGCTTAACTAACTAAGCCTGTCATGGAAAATGTTAATAAGGAATAATTTTTTACATTTCTCTATATATTGTTATGCACTCATTTTCTTTGTCCTTAAATGCAATTGGTTATCTTATAATTAAAATTTATACATGCAAACCAAAATTGAGAATGATTTCTCGAATGATTATCCCTAATAAATGAAGTATTTCTTCAGCCAAGCATATCTTGACTTGCATTTCCAGCTAACATCGGTCTGATCGTCTTAAAATGATAATTTTGTATATACATTAGGGTAAAGCCTAAATTATCAGTTTTGATCCGGTTTGCTAACTAAACTTTTATTTTTTCAAAATCATACCTAAAATTTAGTTTTTGTTTCATTTTATTACTTTGTCGTTAAAAATTTAATGCGTTTAGTACCTAAACTATCAGTTTTTGTCCATTTTAGTACTTAAACTTTTCATTTTTTTCAAAACTTATTGTTAAATTTTGAATTAGGTTATTAAACCGAAATAAAAACTAATGTTTTTAATGGTGGAGTACTAAAATGAAATAAAAACTAAACTTTAGGTATGGTTTTGAAAAAATTAAAAGTTTAGGTATTAAAACGGATTAAAATTGATAATTTAGGTACTAAACACGTAATTTATCCTATAAATTATTTTGAAAGATATAAGTTAATACATAATAATTCTTTTTTGACTCTGTTAAATGATAAAATTATAATTTAATCTTTATAAAATTATAAGATAATATAAGAATTTATGGTTTAAAGTTTAAGGTTTAGGGTTTAAGTTTAATGTTTAGAGTTTATGATTTTTAGAGCTTGGGGTTTGTGTGTGTTTACGATCTAAAATTTGCAGTTTAAAGTTTGGGTTGAGATTTAGTATTTAGGGTTTGGGGTATAAGGCATACGGTCTACGGGTTATGATTTGGAATTCAATGTTTAGAGTTTAGAGATTAAGTTTTGGGATTTGAGATTTAAGGTTTAGGGTCTATAGTAAATTTACCAAAAAATAAACAGCATTAAGGACTTAATGGTTAAGTGGCCTAAAAGAGTGAAATATGAAAGTTTAGTGATGGAATTGAATTTTTTTTAAATAGAAATAAAGATAAAATTTACCAAAAAAAAATAGTTTACCCAAAATGCATATGCAGCAATAGATGCTTATAGTGAGATCCGAGTTACATAATTTATCATCTCAATTACAGTAGGTTTTTTTGTTTTTTGAAAATGATTACTTTGTATTAGAATTCACAAAGTACACCACCCCAAGGATCTTATTAAAAAAACCTCTCTAATCCTAAGCAGAGGAAAAAGAGTGAACCTTGGGATGAAAGAAGGTCCAATATGAACCCAGGAACAACAAGAATAACAGCCGATAACACACCACTAGAACAGCCCAAAACAGACTACAACAATGTAGCAACACACTACCCCTGAAAGAAATTCAAAAAGGAACTACACACATCTAAAAACAAAGAACAAAACCATGCTACAATCACCGGGACAAAAGACAGTAGAGCATATGCCTATGAAAGGATACTAAACATAGATCTGAACCCTGTCAGCGCCAACCAAACAGTAAAGGAACGGGACTACGAACAACTCTAAAATACTCGAATCCAACGAGGGCCATAGCGAAACAGCGAAATAGATCTATACTAGCTCAGCCCTTACACGAACCTTCTACTAAACACGGAAAACTCACCCACTATCTATAACTGAGAGCACAAAGTGCTCCAAACTTAAAGTCACAAACTCTTCCAAAACTGAGAAAGTAACGCCCAAAACCTCACCCACACGAAGCGTTGCCCTCGCTTCAATGAACAATCACCGTTCGATTAACAACAAACACCTTCGCAGGAAAACCACGAACAACCACCCCCTACTGTCAACTTGCCTCAACTTCCGTCTCCTCACAATCTTCTTCATTCTTTTTAAAGCAATACAAATGCAAAACTTTGAATTCCAATCACGATTAACTAGGTTGGACTGCAAGGATTGTGCCAATTCACCATGCATGTATTTACTGAAAAGTCCTCACCCACTGCTCAATAAACGCCTGGGGCCCACCACGTGCAACGCCAACCTGGATTTTATGCCCAACAGAATCAAAAATATGAGAATCATGCTTATTCTCTCTAACAGCAGCCCCCCTTTCCACCTCACAATCCACTAGCCTCATACTAGCTGTCTCTATTCCAAAAGCATTAACACTCCTCAGGCAGAATGAAAATGCGTAGTTGCTCTATTCAACGCCAGGGCCTACCACTTGCAACGCCAACCACACCAAGCTCCACTTTAACTCCCATACCATGTTGCCCCTCTAACGAACCACCAAGGACCACAAACAACAAACTTGCTACCAACATCCACAAACGAAAATATTCCTCTGGCCCGACGCCTAGAGCTACACATCCCCCGACCACCTTTCTCGAGACTAGTTTAATCTGCACAAGCCACTACGAAACCAAAAACATCCGCCATAATAACGAAGACTGCATGCCACGCTCCGCCATCAACGAAAGCACGACTCCTCACAAAATTACTAAACTCCCAAAAGAAACAACTCCTGAATAACGGAAACTGCCAGTAATCTCAGACTATTACCGACAAGTCACCTCATTTCCACGACCGGAACACAAAACCCGCAACTGCAGCAGAAACCTCCTGCAACCTAGGACTCATCACATCAACGGTAACGCTATATTCACCACTCCACAACCGGCCGGGATGCCAACAAGGAACACACAAAGCAAAACAACAAACACAGGAACGGGCCTAGAACAACAACTAAAAACAACTCCAGAGAACACTTGTCTAGGCAAAGTAAACACATGACAGCTGAAAGACAAGAGAGAGATAATACCTTTCGAACAAACCCACTCACTACATTCAAGCTAATAGACGAAGAAAGGACACAAACGCGACGAACACCGAACCTCTTCAACAAAAAGAATAAACTTGAGAGAAAAGAGCCACACACATAGTCAAGAGGCACGTTCGAAAACGGAAACAATCCCTTACGCGAGGCGGTGGCCGCCTCCACCACCAACCTTGCTGCTTAAAAGCAAACTAATGAAAAGATAAAATAACAAAAGAAAAAAAAGGATCGGCGGCCAACAACCAGCCTTAAGGGCTGGTGCCGCCACCTCCGCCTATGATATCGACTTCTCTCTTTTAAAAATTGGTTTGCCCAAAGTGGTGCCCAGTTCTTTCAATTACAGTAGGTTTATGTTGAACAAACTGCGTGTTCTTGAATACACACGATGTGCTGAGTAGACACCGTCCCCCACGACCGTATGAGTTGCGTCATTGCATATAATACTAGTAAAATCAAAGCTCAAACTCAACAGGTTGGCCATGGAAATGTGAGAGCAATCACCAAGTCGGCTGGGACCCCCCACTGTATGAAACTCGCAATTTTATGACCTTATTCAGATGCTGCAACCACACAGTGTGAAACTATAGTTAGAATCTGTCTGAAACAAAAGTTAAGTGTGAAATGATGAAGAAATGTATGGATTTTAACCAATTTGTTAAAGTATATTATATTTATTAAAAATTATATATTAATTATTTGTTTTTTTATATTTACGATTGATTTTGTATTGGTATATTAATTATTTTTCCTATATTGTGTTGATGTCGTGATCCATATTCGACCAATTCTAGCTTACTAATGGCCATTCCCTTTCTTAGGGCAAATTATGTGGACGCTCCTCTATCAAAACTTCGTAGTTCCTTGACTTCAATTTTAAGTTACTATATTTGTACACTTTTATTCTTCCTTCGCTGATCTCTCGAGGGTTCATCATGATTTTTATATAATACTTTATTATTCATAATATCTAAATTTAAAATTTAAATTATTATTCATTTATTTTGGAACAAAAATATTAATCATTTAAACATGTATACTCTCCTAATTTTTTATATGTTAATAATAATAACACTCAAATTAAAATTTATTTCAATCCTGTCATAATAATTAATAAACTAATTTTCCCGAAATATATGAATATTATTTTTACATCAAAGATGGCACTAAAATAATAGTTATGGTTACGGATGGGCACGGGATCCGACCGGATCGGATCGTTTTTTTTAATAATTTCAGGTCATGTCAGTTTTTTAGAAAATATGTTCGGATCGAGTTGTGTTCGAGTTAAGGATGAAAAATATTAAAATCAACCCGACTCAAAAATTATTTTATATATTTAGGGATAATTATAATAATAATCATCTATATATTATTTTTTTCAATTAGATCCTTATTTTTACTGAATAAAAATATATTTTTTTATAAATATATTCATTTTGAGTTGAATCGGGTCAAATTCGAGTTTTATCTAAAAAGCACAAGTCGAATTTAAATCAATTGAAATCACTTCTAAACTTGAGTTGAATTTCTGAGTCATATCAAATTGACTAAAAACCTGACTTGACCTATACCCATCTCTAGTTATGGCTTCTTTAAAATTTGAATAACTAATTCATTATACATGGCCAAATCCCTTTGTCTTTACCATCCAGAATATTGATCCATAAGTTCAAAATAAATTATAGGAGTATAGCTTTTTTATAAAAAAAATAATAAGTGGTGATGACATTTGATTAAATAGTTCTGACTATATGACATTATTTTATTAAATTCTTTAATTATAAAAATTATAAAATGATTTTTTATTATAGGATGTTTTTTTATTGAGTTTTTTACTATTAAAAGTTACCAAATTATTTATATGCTCCAAACTTATCATTTTCTATTAAAAATTGATGATAATATTCTAAGATAGGCGTTAACCTTCTGACTGAGATATAATAAAATCTTATTGCAGAATTTCAAACGACTATCATATCCCAATCAACATGTTAATTTATAATTCATATCTCAATCAACATGTTAACTTATAATACAAACGATTGTCAATTTTTCAACAGAATAGGACGAATTCATATCATATGAATAAATAGGTAATCATTTTGTAATTTTTAATAATCGGGGACTTAACAAAACATAATTTTATAATTAAATGATCATTTTATGACTTTTAATAATTAAAGACTTAACAAATCAGCGGGATCATTTGTATAATTTACTCTAAAAAAATAATTATAACATCCTCAATATCGGGTTAGTGATCAAATTGTAAAGTTTCAGAATTTGGTGACTAGAGTAGAACCATGGATTAGTTCAATGATTTATTTGGAAATAAATCATTAAAGTTGTTGGTAATTATTAAATGAAGTAAAGGATAAAATAGTCAATTGACAAGGAAAGATATTTTCTCCCCTTTATTAGGAGATTAACACGTTGGGGAGAGGAAGATGAAAACTCTCTTCTTCTTCACTTGCTTTCTTCTTCTCCATCGTGCCTAAGCTAGGCAAAGGTGAGTTTCTTTATTTGTTGATTATTAGCTGAAATTTAAGGTTGAGTTTTGATTATTAGGTGATAATTAAGCATAAAAAGAGCTTAAATTATCTTAAAACAATAAGATGAAGAGAATAGAGGGGATTAAAGAAAAGGGAGGAATAAGTGAAATCTTGAAAGAGGGTTTTTTAATGAGGTTTTAGAGTGAATTTGACTTGTCATCAATCTAATTAACATGTATGAAGTATTAGAATTGGATTTGTAACATGTTAAAATTTGGGTATGATTCTTGAATTTCTTAAGGAGAATAGGATATATGGAGGTTAAAGAATTGATTATTGAGTAGAAATGAGGGCAAATATGTATATGTAAGTAAGGAATATGAAAGGGGATGAAATATGAAGCATTTGAGTTGAATTAAATGGATTTTTGGGCTTAAAATGCAAATTCTGGGCAAGGTGTATCGATGCGCATTGAATGTGCATCGATGCACTCTTTAAAGAAGAAACATCGAATGCAAATGGTGCATCGATGCATAAGGAGTGCATCGATGCATCCCTGTAAAATGAAAACATCAAAGGTAATTTGTGTATCGATGCATGGGTAGTGCATCGATGCACATGTTAAAGAATGCATCGATGCACTGTAGCATGCATCGATGCACTTCAAGGGGAAATTGAAATAGACATTTCTTCTGGTCTAAGAAATGATAGATTAGATTATAACAATGGGATACTGATATGTATCAATGTATAATTATGTAGATATCGAACACGAACAAGTTCTGGGTTGTGTATCAAGTTAAGATTCGATCGAAAGAGAAGAAATCATAAAGTGGATTGAAACTTAGTGAGGCCAAGGTGAGTGCACATTATTTAGTATATGATGTTAAATGGAAAATAAGACTTATGATAAGTCTATTTCCAATAGTAAAATGCATGAATTCATAGAGGTATGTGTTTTGTTATGATTTATATATATGTGCATGAGTATATATGTTATTGATATGATTCTATGATCATAGGATGTAAACTATGTGATAAGTGATAAGTGACTATATGGAATTATATGAGAACAAGAGATGACATAAGCAAAGTGACATATATGTGATAAATGAATTATATGAAAAGTGAGATAAACAAAGTATGGTTGATATAGGGTAATATAAGAATAGCTCATAGGTTATATGATAAAGATGGAACCATATAGGAACATTAATTGAGTACTTGATAATAAGTCATAAGGTTATATGCATAGGTAATATAAGTTATAAGATGAGAATACATATGAATATCAAATAAGTTATGAGATAAGTTATATGACATTAATATATAGGCTAAATGAAAGTATACACATGAATACATATATAAGTTTATATGTTATTTTATATGCTATGGGATATACCCATGAACATATGTGATGTGATATATGTTATGAGAAATGACCCATGTGACTAAGTGTGAATTGATATAAGTATGTGATATGAAGTTATGGGTATATGTGTCATATGTTATTATATGTGACATGATATATATGAGTTTATGCGATATAAAAGTGTATATATGAAATAACATTATAGGTTATAAAACCGTGAGCCTATATGATTATGTGTTATATGTTACATGATACGACATGCGAGTTACATGAACAAATGAGAAATGATACAAGTTATATGAAACGATCTACGTGAATACATGCACTTGTGATACATGTAATATGATATGAGATATATGGTTACACATACATGTGGTATGTGACAGAAGAGAAATAACAAGTGATATGAAATGTTATAAATGATAATGCCCATGTTATGTGATATGAGAGCTAGGGGTATAGTTGGCATGCCAAGAGTCGAGGGTTTACCTATGTCTTTCGAGACATATGGACAGTTTACCTATGTTCTTCGGGACCTATGGACAGTTGCCGAGGTTCTTTATGACCTATGGATAGTTGTCGGGGTCTTTGTGACCTCTGGATAGGTCATTCGGGACATTTATACGAGTTGTGGTGACAGCATAGTGGTTCACAACCTCAATAGACTCACGTATCTACAGTTCTCACATGTGTACCATGGGCTAATAAAGAGATAATATTAATAAACTGGATATGATGATATGTTTGTTTCCTTATGAAATGTTATGTGTGATATATGATGGTACAAATGGCAGATATAAGATTAAATGATAAAAGGAATCAATGATAGTGATAAGAATGAAGATGATGATATAGTTGATTGTGTGTTTGATTTACGATAGTATATATGTTTTACATAACATGATATATATATATATGTTATATGGTATATGGTATACGTGAGTACATGTTAAGGTATATGTGAATGAGTATAATTGATTGACATGATGATATAATAACAAGTCTATCAGATATATAATATGGACATAAAAGATCATAGGAACAGGAGATAAGAGATATAAATGATAATGGCATATATGTATGTATGTATGTATTTGTTACATATAACAGTATATGAGTTGTAAGAAATGATTACTAGTAAATGTTTACATTATATGTTTATTGCCTCACTAAGTCATAGACTTAGCGTGTGATTGTTTCACACGTAGGTTACAGAAGTGAGAAGAGTAAAGAGCAATGTGGAGCAAGACAAGTCAGTTCTCCTTACTGAAGGTCAGATCAAAAGAAAGATGAATAATATGTATGTTAACAACTAAAGTTTTAGTTGGCATGTATTCAAAATAATGTATTATATAAGCTCTGAATAGTTTTGTAAACGTTTTGAATAAGTTATATGTTATAAAAGTTTTAAATTATTCACTAATTTTGTATAAGCAAAAGTTTTGAAAAGTTAATGTGATACCTCGGACTCGGATCCGGGTCAGATACGGGTTGGGGGTGTTACAATAATATTTCATTACGATAGATATTTTCCATCCTACATTCAAGCATATTTGAAGTTAAAAAAATACGAATTTGATGGTTCAAAACAAGGACATGAATACAAATGACGTGTAATGTTTATGTTAATGATGGCTCAAAAATTAAAATAATTTGCCGATGTAGAAAGATAAAAAGACGGGAAGTTCTATCGTACGGCAGCTTTAATATATTCGATAAAGTGTTACCTAAAATATTATTATTTTTCTACCGCATATATTATCAAACCCGGTAAAATTCTTAATAATAACAAAATCATTAGAAATAATAATGTTTTCAGCAATTTTTTATCGACTTTATATAAAAAATAATAACTTTTTTTTAATCGTATATTAAGTTGTCACACGTAAGACTGCAAAAAAGATCATCTTGGAATGTTAACGTGGACAAATTTTGATGGAAGTTAAATATGTTTGTTGTTACATTAAATAATAAGATATCATTTAATATTTTTTATCTAAAAATAAATATTGAATGTGATGTCAGATTACATTATATTTCAATAAAAAATAATAGTAAAATTTAAAAAATGATTTTCTTGACTGTAAAACAAACTTTAATCCTTTGTTGATTTTCCATACGCCGCCTAGCAACAAAGAATCTGAACCACCAGAAAGGACATTCCCAAAATCAGAGCCCTTCATTTATTCCATATCGAACTTTTTCCAAGAGTCAACCTGACCTGAATTTAAAAGGAAAAGAGTGAAGCTCCCATGAAACTCCCTTGCAAAAACCCAACCTCCCACTTTGCCCTTTATAAATGATACCTTCTTGTACACCCCCAAAGACCAAGACTCAGAATCCATGTTCACAATGCCGGGCTTTAAAACATCATCGGAACATGTCGGAGGAGGTGGTCGGAGATCCAAGCCGAACGAAGCATGTAAACGACACCCAAAACACAAGCAATCGCCTGGAGTTTGTTCGCTTTGTTTGGCCGACAAACTGACTCAGCTATCGACTCATTCGTCATCTTATTGTCCTTCTTCGACGTCTTCTTCTTTATCTTCCTCATCTTATTCCTCGTGTTCTTCCTCTCCCTTTCGTGCTCGTCGTTTTACTGCAGATGGAAAAGAGTCTTGTTTTTGCTTTTTGTTGTTTAATGGCAAGAATCTACTCACTAAGAGCAGCTCAGTTGCCTGTGCTTCCCGAATGAGAAGCAAAGAAGGCGATGATCGTAAGAAGAAGAAACGTGGGTTCTTGTCCAAGTTGTTTCACCCAATAAGTACTAAGACGAAAGAACAGGTTTCATTAATGGCGGTGTTTGCTTGATTGCGTGTTTTTTTTTTTCTTTAACTTGTTTCATTGATAGAATAGAATCACTACTCCGACAAGCTGTTTTGCTTGAAAATTTAATCTGTTGTAACTTGTAGGTACTTTGAGAATGTTTTATGGTATAATATGATACCGTCATTATATATATATATATATATATATATTATTTCATGGTGGAATGTTGGAAGGAAAAAGACAAATAGAATCGATTAGTTTAATTAGTTCCTATTTGCTTTGCCGACAGCTTCTGTGAGTGGAACTTAGTTTAATCTTGTGTAGTGTTACAATAGGAAGGGCTAAAGTTTCTTATTTTAAGCGAAACACAATGCCAAAACCTCCGTCTGATTAGTTAGTAGCTCAAACTGTGGGCTTACGATAGGATTTTTTTTTAAGGCTTAGGTAGTGTTTGTTTTTGCAATAGTTAAAAGGTTTGTGATCTGTAAGAAGAAGATTGTTTGTTTTTTAACGTCTGTAAACTGCTAAAATAAATTGAAATATAAATAAACTGATTTTTTAAACTTAAAAGAGTTTTGCAATACTGAGATTTAAATAATTTTAGTTTTACAATACTGAAATTTAAATAATTCATACAGCTACAATAATATTTTTTTTAGAAAAACAAACACCACCTTATTAATTCTATTATAAATCTCACATAATCACATGTATTATTAGTTTTATAAATTTTATACAATAAAATATAAGAAATGATCATTAAATTATATGATTTTTTTAAATATGCAATTATGTAATACTTTTAATTTTTTAAAATATATATTCATAATTTATTTTTATAATTATATGATATTTTTATAAAATATTTTTTAAATTATCAAATTATTTTATGATTATTTTTTATTTAATTGTGATTATATTTTAAATTTTAAAAACATAATTTATAATTTTTTATATTTTAAAATCTTAATTATCAAACAATGAAATCATTTTTATTAAGCAATGTGATTTAAATACTTACATTTTGTATAAAAAGTTTAAATATAATTTAAAAATAACAAATCCAAAAAAATATTATATTTAAACTTAAATCAAAATAATTAAAATAAATATAAAATTTTAATAATATATAAAATAATTTATATGATATAAAATTAAATATCTATAATATAATATTAAAAAATTAATATTTAATTTATTTAAAAATTAATATTAAAATTAATATCTATAATATAATATTAAAAAATTAATATTTAATTTATTTAAAAATTAATATTAAAATTAAAATTAAATATAAAACCTCTTTGAAGAGGTTAGAAGACGTCTGCAGACATAAGACCACGTCTGCACCACGCAGACCACACGCAGACGTTAGAAGAGCTTCTGTCTTCTAAAAACCAAACGGTTTGCGAAGCCCAATGTCTGCGCGGCGCAGACATAAGAGTTTTACAGACCTTACACAGTAAAAACAAACACCACCTTAAAGTCCAAATAAGTGCTCAAACTATGTCTTTTTTTGTCAAATAAGTGCCTTACAGTTTTGTTTACCAGTCCATGTGTCTAACGTTACAAACGTTACCCTTTTAGGTGCCCAGGTTGTCAAAGCCGTTAGTTTTTCCCGTTAAGTGCTACGTGTCAACACATGATAATTTTGAAATTTATTTTTTTAAAAAAAATATAAAAAATATTATTATGTTTGTAAAAAAGCCTAACTTTTCTTATATTATAAAACAGCCCCAAAAAACTGAATCCTAACATTAATCCACTGTAGGCGCCTTCTTCGGCCACCACCTCCATCGCCGACGTAGTCCTTGACATCATCCTAGTTATATGTCGTCGTAGTTATCGCCGATTCATCGTCGAAATCGCGTGGGATCACGATTTTTATCTTAGGGTTTTGAGATTTAAAATGTCGATTTGTTGTTGATTGATCGTCAACTAGTCATAATTTCATAGGGGTTATGATCGTCAAGGGCAGGAAAGGTCGAGTGGAGCTTCTTCGACGGTAAAGGGCAACAATCGATGTGGGTTTAGGGGTTGAAATGAAAGTTTTCAAAGTTTAGGGGTTATTTCAAAGTTTATTTTTTTCTTTTTTAAAAATATATCATTTTATTTTTTAAAATTTTTATATAAAATTTTAAAATTAGTAGGTGTTGACACGTGTCACTTAACGGGGAAAACTAACGGCGTTGACGATATGGGCACCTAAAAGTGCAACATTTGTACCGTTAGGCACCCAGATGAGCAAAAAAACCGTAGGCACTTGTTTGGCACAAAAGAGATAGTTTGGGCACTTATTTGGAAATTAAGCCTTTTTTAATTGATAACATTCATATTTGAATAAGATTATATTAATGTGAAATATGAGTAATATAAAGAAGGAAATCATGAGTAGATTTGTAAGTATTTAAATATAATTTTTTAAATTTATTACTTATTAAACGATTGAGGATGATGTTTATATACGTGTATCGCTATGATTTTCTTACCTTGGAAAAATTCTGTTGGACGATAATTTAGTTTAAGGTTAAGAAATAATAAAAAATAGATGCAATAAAAAATATTATAAAAATATAACATTTTCGGTTAAACATAATTTAAAATATTAAAATTAATATTTTTTTTTGTTAAACACAACTTAAAATGTAAAAGTTAACATTTTCAGTTGAATTCATGTTTGTAGTTCGTACAACTGTACCTTTTTTAGCATTATTTGTGTAAGTCTTTGTTAGAAAATATATAGGGAAAATGATAGTTAGAGTATAATTGTCTTCGTACTTAAACAAAGGGTTAATATATTAAACTTTAGGGATAAATGAGCACGAACCAAGTAATCTAATTGGTAAATGAAGTGTTATTATTCTTTGAGGTACCGGGTCTGAGCAACAAGAATGTTAGGGGTAAGAGTTCAATGTCAAATGGTTGAGAGTTATCTTTGAACATATATTACCTTGTACTTATCCCAAATTAATAAAAAAAAATAGGGATAAATGAGCATTTTTCAAATTACATGGATAACTAAAATTTCTATCAATCCTCGGGAGGATTAATCATTTTCTCTAAAATTTATATGAATTAACCATAAATAAGTAATTGTATGATTATAATTAATATTTTTGAAAATAAAACACTTATTTAGTAATACAACCATTGCTAGTTTAACATAAATAAAAATGATAATATATTTATTATTTAATATAACATATAATTTCTTATTTTTATAACGTAACGTGCTTAATAATTGTTTTATTTATTCTATTTTCACCGTTATAATTGTATTTGGATCCCAAATTATACCCCACAACTAATTTTAATCTTATCGTTACAATATCCAATTTCCCTATTTGAACATTATAAATGTAATTGAAATTTACCTCGCCATTTATCCAAAATCACTAATTGTTAGACATTAATATAGATAAATATTTTTAATCTCAATAAGATCAATCTCGTCTAACCTAATGGAGAAACAAAAATTAGGGTTGGAAATTGTGAGCCTTGCTATTGCTTTGCTAGTTAGTCTAAAGCAAGAAAAGAACTCATGTTGGGCAGCTCAGCCCAGCCTAACCCCACTCACCAGTGGACCTTCTCTACCCAATTGGTTAAGAGGCAACTAAGTCCTCAAGGTCGGCTTCATATTTTATATTTGTTTTATTATTTATATCGTATTTAAATTATTTTCTATATCGTATAAATTTTAAAATATTTTGTATTTGTTGAGCAAAGGTATCATCCTTGATCTAATTAGCCTAAAATACATGCCAAAATTTCTTATTATCTCATCCTTTCAAACAGGATTTTCATCAAACAAATTCATCTGTGGTTACACTGGGTGGGATATAACAGAAGAAAACCACAAGGTTTTCCGATAGATAGTACCTCTTACAGAGGTCCCGGAAAAGTGCCATTCTCCCTTTGCTCGTTCCATCGGTCGATCTGAAACACAAATGAAATGAGTGATTGTTAGATTGAAGACCAAATGGTTAATAAAAGCTGGCGTCTTATACACTCTTCAACCTCTGAGTTTATTACATTATACACACTCAAATAGTCTAAATTGATTAATCAAAAAATAGTCTAAATCGAAACCGCAGGAATGTGTTAATCAAAGCATAAACCTTCCCAATTCCTCAAAAAACAATGTATTAATGAAATATTGAATTGAGCATGCAAAACGAAACATTTTCATTCCTGTCTCTTCCTTTTTTTACTACCTTTTTATTTTCATGCTCCTCCATGTTAAGTTTTAACAAAAATCTCCACATCAGTTGACAATGAGGACCTTCAATACCGGACCAGTTTGAGATAAGGAAGTGAGGAGGAAGATTTAATCTTCTATAGTTTAGTCATTTTACTTCAACCAAAGAATCCATTATAAGATTTAGTTCAAAATCAGCTCAAAATTGGAGTCTATCATAGTTCACTATTTGGAGACTTTGAAGAATGGACTTCTCATTTCCTGTATGGCCTAAAATTTGTCATTTAGGTCTGTCTTTGAGGTAACTTACCTAAGATTAAGGGTTTTTGGTTGCTTTTGACATTTCCTCAAAGTCTATCATTATGTATTTTTAAGCTAGCTTCCTGCGTAATCACTGTATCTTAGAGGCCTTGCATAATAGGGAAGACTGAATAGGTCACTAAGGCAATGATGCAATCAAAAATCCAAATATAATTCCCTTCATCTCCTCTCAACCAAGCTCTTTCACAAATTTCAAGCCAAGTTCTTTTCAATTAATCCCCTTCATTTTTCCCATAAACCCTAACTTATTGATAAAAGGAATATCCTTCAACATGTTCTTTGATGCTACCAAATAGGGTTACACCTGTATCTACTTCTCTATCCATGTGATATACCCCAAACTGTTCTCTTTGTCCACATGCAAACCCTCAAAGAAATCTCTTTCCCGCCTCCAGTCCTCCACATCAATGGGAAGATATCAATATGGTTTTACATCAGTGGCACCAAGATATGCCATCCATATGAACTTTCTAGCACTTAAGTTCATCAAAAGATACAAAACAAATTCAACCAATCCACTATA